TAAACACACGTTAGTCGTAAAATGTTTTTTTTTACAAGAATGCCACCTTTTAAGAAAGTGAGATATACTCTGTAAGAGGCTCACCTGGTGCTACCTCAATCTGGACTTCGTTACTGAAGGGGCCCTCCCCTAAATCATTGACTGCTGCGACTCGAACAGAGTAGAGAGCAGCTGAACTAACAGGAATATCGAGACTGGTGGCACCGTCGGCAGACGAAGGAATGCAAATCTCTGAGAGTGTGTCGAGGTTTGTGTGGCAGACTCGGTAGCTGGTGATGGCTCCATTGCGATGGATACACTCCACAGGACCCCAGACAACTCGGATTTTTAACAGAGCAATTTCTGATGCCACGACAGACGTGGGAGAGGCAGTAGGAGCTGCAAAGAGAGAATGTTTCATCAATGCTTATTAAACGGATTCATGCACGCAAATACACTTTGTGAAGTCAAAACAGCGCACAAAAATGTTTTTATTAGGCTAGTATTCATGCCGCAGCTTTGTTGCCTGATAATATGTATGTCTCACACAACACAATAACACAGCAGTCCATGCAACAAGTAGTGCTATGGTATGCCACATGTTCCGTGTGCCCCAAATACACATAAAATTAAGACAAGTATATCTTAAAGAGAATAATGGCAGTATATTATAAATCTCGGAAAAGGTTACTAAAGATGGAAACCTAATCACATTCTTTCACTGCACCCTTTTGTTGGCTCCATCTTTACCAAATACAGCCTTTATGTACCATATACGACATTCACTTTAAAATATTGTTCTTCCCTCACCTGCTTTCTCAGTCATTGCTGACACAGTGTTACTGACGTCACTGCTACTGGCTGGATTAGAGGCTGTCACGGCAAACCAGTACCTACTGTCTTCCTCTAGTCCAGCAACCTGTGCTGCAGTAAGTCCATTAGTCACTGTGAGATTTCTGTTATCTTCATAAGGACACCCGATGGAAGTGTCCCTCTGTAGAGAGATTTGGTAGGTGACTTGTTGCTGGCCTGAACTGGTCCACTGGAGATCTACTGAGACTGAGGTTAAGCTGCCCACTGAGAGAGCTGGGACTGCAACTGTAGCCAGAGAGGGAAGGAAAGAGGATAGAAAGAGAAATCACACCTGTAGACTTAAAAACAAACGCTGTTGTATTCAAGATTAGAAGTGCTTGACAATAGAAAGTTGACACAATTGTAGAATATTAGTCTTTCATGGGTTAAAGAAAGAAACTTGTCTTGGGAAAAAAGGTGTCCTTACTAGAGGTCAAGTGTCTTCATTTCAGGGGTGTCCCTAGAGAGGGGTCCAGTATTATCTTAAAACAGACTAAACTTACGTAACGTATCTTCAACATACATGCTGATACTTCAACATTATATAACAAATAAATCTCAATCAGTGTACCTACCGTGGGTCAGTATGGTAAAACCAGATGTGTTCAGTGCAGTTCCAATAGTGTTTTGGGCGGCAATCTCCACATCATACATCTCTGAGGGTTCCAAGGCAATGATAGTGTACGTCCCACCATCACTCGGAGAATTGACTGTCACTAGAACTGACATACTCTCAGAGCTGCCCTGTATATTATAGTTGATAGAGTAACCAGTGATTTGACCGTTGCGATGGATGCAATCAACTGAGCCCCACTGAAATGAGACAGATGTGGGTGTCAAGTCCGTTAGAGTAACGTTCATCGGTGCACCTGAGGGAACTGAGGAAATAAAAAAAGGTGTTGAAGCAGTTTAATCTGATACAGTGAGAACTGCAAAACACTACTGTATAGCAAAACTGTGAACTGTGAAGCAAAATATCTGGTAGCTAGGTACTTACTGTCCTCATCAGTTGAGGCAGTGGTGATATTACTGGTAGTATTGTCATCTGAATTGACTGCAGTCACACTGACAAAGTATTCACTGTCCTCTTGGACTCCAGATATTGTTGTATTGTAGCTCTCGTCAGAGGTGGAAATAGTCATACTACCCTCGTCTTCATAGGGGCACCCCATTGATGAGTCTCTCTCCCACATAACAACGTAGCTAGTCACTACAGAGCCACTGGGGACCGCCCAGCTCAGAGTAATGGTAGTTTTGTCGGCACTTAAAGTCTGGAAAACCGGCTGACCTAAGAATACTGGTATCACTAGATACACAGGAGAGAGTGAGAGGGAGAGAAAGAGAGGAAAAGAGATTAGTTCAGTAACATGTTCGTTCTTACACCGTTTTTTTAAATAAAACACATTCACAAATGTCGGTTTTATGACCTGAAATCTGTTACATTTCCCAAGAGGGGAAAATCTAGTGACTTTACACACACATAGCTATCAGAATACTATTGGTTGTGCATGCGCATTTGTATGGGGAAAAAAACACCAAAAAAAACACTCACCGATGGACACAGGGTTGCTGAAAAAGTGTTGTGATGTAGCCACAATAGATATGTTATACTCTGCAGTGGGTGAAACACCAGTGAGGGTGTAGGTATTAGTAGAGCGTCCGGTGATATTGACACTATCAGTAGACCCTGACAGAGTGTTGGTGTAGTAGATGATATAGCCGTTGGTGGCGTCTCCCAGGGGAGGAGGGGTCCAAGTGATTTCAATACTTGTGGAGGAGGGTCGACTCGCCGCTAGGTCAGTGGGGGCTGAAGGGACTGGAGTTAAAATAGTGTCCCAGTGTGATGTGAATTCAGGATCAATAATTGACACTTGAGAACAGTTGCTGAATGTACATGTTTGCTAGCTATGATTCTTCCATTGGATAATGGGTGTGGTAAACACACGTTAGTCGTAAAATGTTTTTCTTTTACAAGAATGGCACCTTTTAAGAAAGTGAGATATACTCTGTAAGAGGCTCACCTGGTGCTACCTCAATCTGGACTTCGTTACTGAAGGGGCCCTCCCCTACATCATTGACTGCTGCGACTCGAACAGAGTAGAGAGCAGCAGAACTGACAGGAATATCGAGACTGGTGGCACCGTCACCAGACGAAGGAGCACAAATCTCTGAGAGTGTGTCGAGGTTTGTGTGGCAGACTCGGTAGCTGGTGATGTCTCCGTTGCGATGGATACACTCCACAGGATCCCAGACAACTCGGATTTTTAACGGAGCAATTTCTGATGCCACGACAGACGTGGGAGAGGCAGTAGGAGCTGCAAAGAGAGAATGTTCATCAATGCTTATTAAACGGATTCATGCTCGCAAATACACTTTGTGAAGTCAAAACAGCGCACAAAAATGTTTTTATTAGGCCAGTATGCATGCCGCAGCTTTGTTGCATGATAATTATGTATGTCTCACGCAACACAACACAACAGTCCATGCAACAAGTAGTGCTATGGTATGCAACATGTTCCGTGTGCCCCAAATACACATAAAATAAAGACAAGTTGTGCCGAGTATATTGATCTTAAAGAGAATAATGGCAGTACATTATAAAACTCGGAAAAGGTTACTAAAGATGGAAACCTAATCACATTCTTTCACTGCGCCCTTTTGTTGGCTCATCTTTACCAAATACAGCACTATGTACCATATACGACATTCACTTTAAAATATGTTCTTCCCTCACCTGCTTTCTCAGTCAATTGCTGACACAGTGTTACTGACTTCACTGCTACTCTGGCGATTAGAGGCTGTCACGGCAAACCAGTACCTACTGTCTCCTCTAGTTCCGCGCCACCTGTGCTGCAGTAGTCCATTAGTCACACTGTGAGATTTCTGTTATGCTTCATAAGGACACCCGATGGAAGTAGCCCTCTGTAGAGAGATTTGGTAACGGTGACTTGTTGCTGGCCTGAACTGGTCCACTGGAGATCTACTATGCACTGAGGTTAAGCTGCCCACTGAGAGAGCTGGGACCACTGACCAAGACAATGTGACCAGAGAGGGAAAGGAAAGTAGATCAGAAGAGTAGAAATCGCACACCTGTAGACTTAAAAACAAACGCATCATGTTGTTTCAGATTAAAGTGCTTGACATAGAAAGTTGACACAATTGTAGAATATTAGTCTTCATGGGTAAAGAAAGAAACTTTGGGAAAAAAGGTGTCCTTACTAGAGGTTAAGTGTCTTCATCATGTTTTCAAGGGTGTCCCTAGAGAGGGGTCCCAGTATTATCTTAAACAGACTAAACTTACGTAACGTATCTTCACATACATGCTGATACTTCAACATTATATAACACAATAAATCTCAGATCAGTGTACTACCAGTGGCGTCAGTATGGTAAAACAGATGTGTTCAGTGCAGTTCCAATAGTGTTTTGGGCGCAATCTCCACATCTATACATCTCTGAGGGTTCCAAGCAATGATTGTGTACGTCCCACCATCACTCGAGAATTGACTGTCACACTAGAACGACATACTCTCAGAGCTGCCCTGTATATTATAGTTTGATAGAGTAAACCAGTGAATTTGACCTTTGCAATGTATGCACTCACACAACAACGAGCCCCCCACTGAAATAGAGACAACAGATATGGGTGTCAAGTACCCCGTTAGAGTACATCCAATCGTGCACCATGAAGGGAACCTGAGGAAATAAAAAAAAGTGAATATTGAGTTGAAGCAGTTTAAAAAATGTGATACATTGAGAACCGCAAAACACTACTTTATACAAAAACTTTCAACTTTGAATGCAAAATTCTTTGTATCTACCGCTAGGTACCCCCCACACACAACATTACTAACCGTCCTTCATCAGTTTAGCACGTGGTGACAATAATATGGCTAGTATTGTCAACCTCTGACACCAATTGACTGCAGTTCACACTGACAAAGTAATTCACTGTCCTCTTGGACCTCCAGATATTGTTGTATTGTAGCTCTCGTCAGAGGTGGAAATAGTCATACTACCCTTGTCTTCATAGGGCAGGGGGCAAAACCTCCCTTCAGCAATAGGGGCAAAAACGCAAACCCCATTGATGAGTCTACCTCTTCCTCTCTTGAATTAGGAGTCTCTCCTCCCTTCCTCTCTCCCACAGAATAACCACCTTAGCTTAAGTCACTACAACTACAAAGTCCTCTGTGGACGCCCACCCCACCCTCCCAGCTTCAGAGTAAATGGTAGGTGTTTGTTTTGTCTTTTGTCGGCACCCTTAATGTCTGAAAACCCCGCTGAACGCTTAAGTATACTTGTATCACTTATACACAGTATGAGAGAGTGAGAGGGAGAGAACGAGAGAAAAAGAGATTAGTTCGAGTAA